GAGTAGCTGGGACTACAGGCGCCCGCCACCTCGCCCAGCTAGTTTTTTGTATATTTTAGTAGAGATGGGGTTTCACCGTGTTAGCCAGGATGGTCTTGATCTCCTGACCTTGTGATCCCCCGTCTCGGTCTCCCAAAGTGCTGGGATTACAGGCGTGAGCCACCGCGCCCGGCCGGCATATGGTAATTCTATGTTGAGTCATTTGAGGGGCTGAAAGGATGTTTTAGCAATGGTCAGTGCAGAGCACGAGTCTTTCTGACTTGCCACAAAGGCGCTATGAGGGCTAAAATGGAGTTAGGTTCTGGACCCAGATCATTGTAGACTGATTTTTCAACAGTGTCACAGGCTGGGTGGCTTAGATAACAGAAATCTATTTTCTCCCAGTTCCAGAATCTGGAAGTCCAAGATCAAAGTGCCACCTGGGTTAGTTTTTACACTTGCCCAATAACCAGGCAGGTCCCTTTGTCTCTTCATGGCTCTGTGGCCCCAGTTTATCGTGAGGTTGTGAGGATTTAAGAGGGGTGTGTGTGTGTGTGTATGTATGTGTGTGTGTTGGAACAGTGCCTGGCCCTGAGTGTTACTGGGATGAAGATTGCATTCTCACTGTGGGACAGGATGGGGCGGCACACTGGAATGCAAAGGGGACTCCCGAGGAGAGCGTCTGGTTTATAGAAGGACCCAAAGGTACAGGAGCTGAATTATGTCTCTTTAAAATTCATATGTTGGAGCCTGGATGTGGTGGCTCACACGTGTAATCCCATCACTCCGCGAGGCTGAGGCAGGTGGATTGCTTGAGGTCAGTAGTTCGAGACCAGCCTGGCCAAGGTGGTGAAACCCCGTCTGTACTAACAATACAAAAATTAGCCAGGTGTGATGGTGCATGGCTGCAATCCCAGCTATTCAGGAGGCTGAGGTAGGAGAATCGCTTGAACCTGAAAGGTGGAGGTTGCACTGAGCTGAGATTGCACCACTGAACTCCAGCCTGGGTGACAGAGCAAGACTCTGTCTCAAACCAAACCAAACCAAACTAAACTAAACTAAAATAA